CTACGGCGCATGAAGAGGCTATGCTTGCTATTGGGGCTCTTGCTTATTCTTCAGGTCCTGACTTTGCAAAATACATGCAAGACTTCTATAGATATTTGGAAATGGGTCTGCAAGATTTCGAAGACTACCAGGTTTGTGCCATTACAGTTGGTGTTGTAGGGGATCTGTGCAGGGCGCTAGAGGGTAATATATTGCCTTATTGTGATGGGATTATGACTCAACTCCTCAAGAATTTGTCAAGTAATCAATTGCACCGATCTGTGAAGCCTCCGATCTTTTCGTGCTTTGGTGATATTGCTTTGGCAATTGGAGAGAACTTTGAGAAGTACTTGGTGTACGCAATGCCTATGCTTCAGGGTGCCGCAGAGCTATCTGTCCGGACATCAACCGATGACGATGAAGATATGATAGAGTACACTAATACGTTGAGGAATGGAATTTTGGAGGCATACTCCGGGATCTTTCAAGGATTCAAGGGCTCCACAAAGATCCAATTGTTGATGCCTTACGCACCTCACGTCCTGCAGTTCTTGGATAGTCTATTTATGGGGAAGGACATGTAAGTCTGATAGAATTTCTTTGGATCCTAATCCTATTTCAGCTTTGTCTTCATTATTTTTCTAACCATTAATTTATTTATCTTTTTTACTAATTCTTTCAGGGATGAACTGGTGTCAAAGACCGCCATTGGGGTCCTAGGAGACCTAGCTGATACACTGGGTAGTAATGCTGGTCCCTTGATTCAGCAATCTGTTTCAAGCAAAGACTTTCTAAATGAATGTTTGTCATCAGATGATCATTTGATTAAGGAATCTGCTGAGTGGGCCAAGTTGGCCATAAGCCGAGCAATTTCTTTTTGAGGCTGCTGCTCCTACTTGGCATGTTATCCTTTTTTTTTTTTCTTTTCTTTGCATGCATCGGGTGTCCTAGAGTCAGGTCTGAGATTGCATACCATGAGTCGGTTCATCACAGTTTTGGGAAAAATGTTTGGGTCAGTCGCGGGCCAGTATTTTCAATCAGCAGCTCGGAATCTCATTTTCATATATTCCATTTTATTGTTTGGCATTGCCATGGAGGAAGTCAGTTGTGGTGATCCATGTGTGTTTCTGCCATCTTGGCAGAAAGAGATGAAATTATAGGAGAAATGGAACGGGTTGAATGATGTGCAGGGATGAGATGGAATATATCCGATACACCCAAAGCCATATCTGGGGTTGAAGGCAGGTCAGGAGTTTGGGGTTGAAGTCAGTCAAGAGTTCGGGGCCCTTCAGCGGCAGCGTTAGAGTCTGCATTTTCCCCCTTTAAATATTTCGCTTTTTTTTCATCTTTTTGTTTTCTTCACCAGAATTTGGTGGCATAAATTATTTTTGCATTGTTACATGTCAATTATCATAGAGTTCGGTCACTGTCCTCTTTTTCTTCGTTGGTTTTGTAGTCATCTTGTATACTTACTCATTCTGTGGGATTAGTGACTACCACATAATATTCAGCTTCATGCATATTGTTATATGTCATCAATGTCATATTCATTCATCGTTTATTCGTCTTCTTGATCATTTGTTGTTGTCTTATGCGTAGGGCTCTTCTATGAGTTTTAAGCCTAGTTATTATTACTTTTGGCTGAAGTTTTCAGCCTAATTGATTGCTTATGTTGTGTTGTATAGTCCAGGAGATTTTTTTAAAGTACTTTATTGCCGTAGTTATTTTTGACATCGTTTGACTGCGATATCGTTGGACCTCTGTTTTCAATACCTACTATCCAGAAATGAAAAGGCACTGCGGAAATAGGTATGGTACTCGTGCATAGTGATATTTTTGGTACTTAAATCTAAATATTGCTGTATTGTTGTATTTGTGATTTGGGAAATTTCATGCAACAATTAAGACGATGCATACTAATATCTTTGCAAATGACTTAAATATATGGGTATTCTAGTGCTAACATAAATTGGTTTCATGAATAATGACAAATGCCACATAGAGGTGAAATCGAATATCGAGATCTAATGAAAAAAAGACCCGTTTAGCATATTTTTCACAAGTGTTGTACTTGTTATTTCAAGCAAGTTATTTCTGGGAAAATGATCTTTTTTGGCTTCAAAGATTCAAGTTTTTCTGTTCTTTTAAAAAAAAAAAAAAAAAAAAAAAAAAAAAAGGGGGGCAAAAAAATTTTTTTTTTTTTTTAAAAAAAAAAAAAAAAAAAAAAGAGATATAAGTGTGCTAATAAATCTTTTTTTTTTTTTTAAAATAGCAAGTGTTAATAAATCTAAGCTCTATAAAGTTCCAAAAAAAAAAAATCTAAGCTCTATAAAATTGAATTGCGAGTCCAGTAATGAATTAATGCTGTGCGAGAGTCAGATAGACAATAACTATAAAATTGAATTGTTCTTTATATATATATTGTTAATTAGTGTGTGTTTTTTTATCTCAATTCACAACTTAAATTTTTTTATTTAAGAGAAAATCTTATAATAAAAAATTAAATTTAAATTTTTATAAAAAAAAATATTACAATAAAAAAATTTAAATTGTAAAAAAAACACGGCATAATTATTACCACCCGCAAGGCTGCAGGCACGGTCGCAACGAAGTGAGTTGGACCCGAAGAAAACAATCTCTTGCTCTTTTAATTTTTTCTTTTTTCTTTTTTCTGAAAAACAATTACATATTATGTAATAAACATCAGAGTACAAGGGAGATGTATCTTGCCTCGTTCCTTTAGCATATGACTTCTACAGCCCTTTACCGTAAATACGTTGTTCATTTAGATGTCACGAGCTTATATTCTGCGCAACAATGCGGGATATATTGTTATAATATATAAAAAATTTGAGATTTTTATATACAATATAATTTTTAAAGAAATTGATAAACTTTTATCATACATAGTGTAAATTAAATGATATAGGAAAAAATATATTACTTTATCCTTATACGTTTTTTAAAATGTTCCGTTGCTTTTGATTCAGAATTGATATTATGAAATATTATTTAAATATGTATTTAAAATAGTAAAAATTATTTTTTTTATATTTAACGTGCTTTATCTTGTTTTTGATCTTTTTATGATTGGCATATGTTGATTAATTGTGGTTGGGTTTGATATATGTGACGATGGTGTTGGTTGAGGACTGAAATGAAAAAAAATTTGATATGTATTTAAAACAATAAAAAAATTTTAGACATATATGATATAAATTAATAAATCTATCTTGCCTTTGTGGATCCATTGATGCATAGTCACTGTTCTGTTCTCTCTCTATTTTGTATTGTGCAAAATATAAAATCAGATAAATTAAAATTTATAAATATTTTCAATCCCTCCATTTACAACAGGATCCAGGTAGCTATACGCAACCAAAGGAAACAAAGGGACCCACATAAGAAGATAGGCACTCACTGAGCCTGGGAAAGAGGGCACTTTTAGATGTTTTTAATATAGAGGTACATCAATGAAAATATAAACCAGAGTGTGGTGCCAAGTCTGGGAAGATACAATTAAATAAATAAGTAAATAGAGAGATTAACAAATGAGAAATGAAAAGGAACAAAACAATTGTAATGGGAGGAAAAAGAAGGAAGAAAAGCAGAAAACAAGAATGAAATGTAGAATACGGCACACAAAAGGCAGCGGAAACGAGCCAAAAGCTATATCTAATGAAGGATGGACATGGTAATGTTTTTATTTAGTTATGATGGCTCAGATAATGAATATTCTCAACAATGTGTGATAAAAAGGTAAACATAAGCATTTGCATTTTTTTTTTGCTACCTACTAAGGGCAACTGCACAAAAATGCAAATGGCAGTAAGACACCAAATTTATCACACAAATTATAAATTGTGTCATAGAAAGTGAATAACCAGAGCAAAGTATAGAGTCGTCCAAAAGTCACCAGGTGAGGTAAATGGGGGAGGAAAAAAGAATGAATTTATTATACGTATAAGATAGCAACAAAATAAGAACAAACTGTAAAAACCAGAGCATGCAGAAAAGGAGGGAAAAAAAGGAGTAGAGAGTATAAAATATAGGTAAACAGAAGAGGACGCAGAAGCTAATACTGCATTTGCATTAAATGCCTACTTATTCAAATCCAAGGGAAAAAGAAGGTAAAAGATAGCATAGGCAGAAAAATGTAACCACAGGCCGAAGTTTAAAAACACCAAGAATGGATTAAGAGGACATTAAGCCTTATAGTGAGGAGCGAAAATGAGTAGAGAAAGAGAGCAAATCTATTCTCCCACTATCCGATCTACAGTGGTTCAAATTGGAGTCAATGCTGGGAAATTCAAGTATGATAGTCCAGTTTTAAAAGCGGGAAAAAATAAAGAGAGAGGCGAGAGAAAAGTAGGAGGGGCTAGAAATAAGTAAAAATTAGAGTTAAAGAGCAGGGGCAAATTAAAATAGCGTAAGAAAATTTAAATTAAGGAATGAAAAGGGAAATGTAATACATCTGTAAATAGCTTTTAAATCAAATGGTAAAGCCAAAAAAGCAAAAGAAGTAAACTAATCAAAAGGAAGAAAAAGGAGAGAGCAAAAAATGTTCACTAAGAAAATATTGACAAATCTGGAATTCAAATGAATAAAGTAGTCTCACGGTAATTTTTGGACAAATCATACAATGCTCAATGGATTAAAATTATTCATGCTCATCATCGCCATAAAAAAAAAAGGGAGGAAAGAGCATAGGAGATAAAAAGGGGCAAGTAAAAATAAAATATCTTAGGTGTAAGTATCCATCTAAGCATATGACAAAAAAATGAGCAACTTCGGACCTAATAACTAAGGACCATACACCAGTTGTACATAGAGGAAGAAAAGAATGGAATAACAATATATTAATAACATGGATCGACAATAAAAAGGAATTTTTATTGATTTGCTATAAAGGGAAATTTTTTACCAGCTTTATAGAGCAGTAATGTTCATTCATAAAATAACAAAGTTATACATCAATAGAAACAACAACAGAAAAAAAATAAAGAGAAACGGTAGGGGGAAAAGGGCAGAAAATGGGGGGATTTTTTCCTGTAAAATTCCTAACCATTTCAGAGAATCAAGGAAGGAAAAATCACCTATGCATTTAATACATTTGCTACAAAATATGTACAAATTATGTGCTGCCAATACAAATCAGTAATAGAAATATTCAGCTCAGAAATTTAATAAATGAAAAGCCAAAAAATCAGAACTTACATACATGCGGCAACCAACCAGGGGTGAAAAGGAAAAAATCCGGCAAGAAAAAATTGCATGAAATCAGAAAGGGTAGAACAATAATTGAATAAATGAGTGGCAAGGAGATGAAGATTTACACATGCGGCGTGCACTGAGGAGGGGAAATGAGCAAATCCTGCACACACAAAAATATATGAAATCAGAGAAGAAATTTTTTTTGAAAAATATCATTACAAAATCAAACTTATTACTCAACACAAAATTACAATCCATAAAATCTTATGAATCCCCAAAAATTTATACCAAAGAGCGAAAGAAAGGCACAAAAAAAAGGGCAGGGGAAGGAAAACAACAGGAAAGAAGAATGGGCAAAGAACGAACACAAAAACTACAAAATGAACACATAAAAATTGAAACCAAAACCGCGATCGAATACAGCACAAAAGTATAGAAGAAGAATCAGGGAGTCACCGACGACGACAACAACATAAACCGGAACAAAATTCGAAATCCAACCAATAAAGGAATTGAAAGGAGAAAATGAATAAACTCCCAAAATTTCCACCGAACAATCCACAAAGATGAAGGCACAAAGCAACAAATGCGAGATCTGCAGCAAAGCAAAGGTGAAAAAACCAATCGAAGGCAAAACGGAAAAGAAAGAAAAGGAAACAGCAACAACGAAACAAAGGAAGCAGCAGAGAGAAAGCGGCGGAATGAAGAAAAGTCCAAGGGCAAGAGGGCACAAAAATAGTAAAAGAGGGCTAAGGATTTAAGAAAAAATCGCCACAGCAAAATCCCAAAGAAAGCCAAAGAATGAACTATCCAACAACCCAAAACGAAGAACAAAAACTAATCAGCAATGAACAACGAAGCAGTAAAGAAGCAAGAACAAACAAAAGGTCCCAATTTTGACGAAAATCAAATAAAACACCGAAAAAGAGGGCTAAGGGTTTAAGAACAAATCGATTATGATAAAAAAATAATAAAAAATAAAAAAACCTATGAAATCATCAGATTTCTACGCTGAATATGAGGTCTGCAGATTTTCACGCTGAATGTATTTAAAAAATTGAAGGACAAAACATTTCCGAAATGCCCCTGCAAGCAAAGAAAAATCAGATAAAAAAACTCTAAATTACAATCAACATTTACAAAAATTAACCAAAGAAAATTAGTATAAAGAAGATTTTAATAAATAATTACATTTAATAAAGGAGATTAACTCTAAATATTGAAACCCTAAATCATCAAAGAAGAAAGAAATCAAAAGGAAAAAAATTAAAGCAAAAATCAAAACATCATATTAGTGCGAGAATAAACAAAACATCCAGAAGGGAAGAGAACGTAAGGAGAATTGAACATCATAACCCAAAAAACCAGAAAACATCAAGACGAAGAGAAGAAACGGTAGAAGAAAAAAATTTTGCAAAACAAATCGAAAACAAACAAAGTAAGAAACAAAATACCATATTAGTATGGAGAAAAAGAAAGCAACAAAACCCACACAGACAGAAGAAAGAGTATAGACGGTGGAAAAAAAATAAAGTTTACTTCAGAGGCATGTTAAATGCTTCCCACACAGACATAAGAAAGAGAACAAAGACCTAGAATACTCATTCTGAGACAAATGAAATGAAGAAAAAAAATTAAGATGTAGAAGGTTGTATAAGGAAGCAAATGAGAAGAAAAAAAGTAAAACACTCAATCTGAGTATAAATGACCAAAAAGGTCAGACTAAACCAAAACAAATGAAATTGAAATAAAGGGCAATATAGTAATTTTATATTCAAAAGGACATAACAGAAATAAAAAATTAACAGAAGAAAAAAGCAAGGGTAAAACGGAAAAGACGTTGTTCATTGCACTGTAACATGAACAGTGAATCCTGTCATCTCCTTTAGTATATGTATAATTTCTGTGGGATAATAGATACAAACTTTTTTTATTTTATATATTTAAATTCAACTTATTAATTTTATTATAATATTTTTTTAATAAAAAGTTTAAATTTTAAACATTAAAATTAAAAATCATAATTGGTTGTCCGCCTTAAATGTAAACTGTCGTTATCAAGGATTCCTTTAGGGGGCGTTTGGTATGCAGTAATCTTAAGGATGAGAATGAGAATCTACAATATTACCATGTTTAGTACAAGAATTATAATTTTTAGATTCCCAGAAAAGTGATTACCATGGGATTCACTTTCTCTCATTTTAAGGTAATTTGAATACCACCCAACATGGTGTTATTCAAATTCCCAATAATCTCAAAATCATGGGAATCTTATTTTATCATTTATTATTATTATTATTATTATTAATATTATTATTTTATTAATATTATTATTATGAATCTTCTTCCATGCGAACAACCAAACACAGTAATTTAATATTCCTGAGAATTTGAAAAAGATTCATATATGAAACCAAACACAGTAATGTAATATTCATAGAAATCATATTACCCTCTATCACTTTCCTGAGAATATGATTCCTACTGATTCTCGCATACCAAACACCCCCTTAGTTATCAAGGATTCCTTTAGTCTCGAAAGACAAAATAGAGAAAATTACGGATATTAAAAATTACAGATATTATCCTGAGACCCAATTCTTTGATTACCACTCATTTCAAGTTCTCTACCTTTTTACATGCAAATCCTCTCTTTTGAAATATTAATTTTAGATTTATTTAATTCGTTAATTTAAGTTTTTAATTTAAATTAAAATTTAATTTTATATAATTTTTTATTATAATAAAAAAATTAAATATAATTATTTTTAAATTTTTTTATTATAATAAATTTTAAATTTTAAAATTGAATCGGTAAAATCAACCGCTATATCTTTCATACCTATATGGATTAGGTTTCTATTTTCGCTCCTCACACTCTCTCTCCGCTGTACGTTCTCTCTCGCTTTCTCTCTAACGCAATCTACCGCCGGCGTTCTTCCTTTCTCTCACAGTTTGCCGCCGGCGATCCCCTCATGTCTCTGTCCCCATAGGGTCGAAGATCGACGCTCCGTCGATGGATGCTTGAGATCGCGAGGATCTCTCCCGTGGTTTCCATGCCCGACGCTCGAGATCATCGAAAGATTCGTCATTCTCAACGCTGCGACAACGATCTACTATGGGTGCCGCGCCTCCTCCGTTCTACATCTGGAACCACGGCGCTAACCTGCCGGTCTTCCGACCGAAAATTGGTTCACGCGTCTCCCGATTACCTTAGATTTCACCTTGCGAAATCGGCACCGTTGCGACTGCGGAGCAGATCTTGTTCTATCAATTTGCAAAAGAGAACTTGTTGTCGTGATTCCACATAATCTGCCTCTCGCGTTGGAATCTCACTCCGATCAAGGACGTTTGTCAAACCAGAGCGTCGCTGAGATCGAACACGGCATCTTTCGTCTCTCCGGCCTTACACAGAGGCTATGATTCTCCCGACGATTAATGTAATACCCGAGATTTAATTAAGCCTTAAGCCAATAATAAATAAATTTAGTAAATTAAAATCATGCATCACATTTACCATTTACCTAAAAGTTATTTGTTGGCATTATATTTTATTATTATAGCTATCATATGATTTTATTAAACTTATAGCTTTGCTAATCGAGTTTTCAGTTTTAATGTGCAGCACAACTAGCTCAATGTGGAAACTTAATGTGCTAAACTTATGAAGAAAAATGATATTTATTATGAGTATTTGATATGATATTTTACCTCTATTATGATTGATTCAATGATGAATCATTATTTTATATTTTTATTATATGGTTTTATGTAAATGTGTTGAGGACTTAGTTGTTATTTTAAGTTTTTGGTGAGAGAAGCCTATGTTAGCAAATTGAGTAAACTTTAGGCACCTAATTGAAGAAGAAAAATAGAGACTTTATAGCTTATTTTATGAGATTAGGATAGCTATTAGAGGCTTAGAAAAACCTAGGCCATTGTTCTATTATAAGGCCATTTTATTTTTGTTTAGTTTCTATCAAGTTTAGACTTTATTTTTTGGTCTATTTCAGCAAGAAACCCTAGAACTCTGACCATAGCACTTTCTTCTCTCTTCTCACTCCTTTTCTCACCCAAAACTCAAAATCAAACCTAGGTTTTTAAGAGAGAATAAGCTAAAGACTCAACCAGCCCATCTCAACTCGTTTTCAACCTAGAACCAAAAATAACCACCAAGTTTTGAGCTTCTATTCACTTGGGAACACGTTTTTCTTTGAGGTAACTTCTTTCTTATGTTAGAAACTAAGATTTCAGAGATTAAGATGTTGAAATCCTACTTGAGATTCGGATTTTTGATGGGGCTTATTATGCATGTTGATTGTAGACTCTTAAAAATGAGTTTCTTGAGGTTTTGGTTCAAATATTGGTTTCTGGGTGAAATTGATGATTCTAGCTTGATATTATTGATGATTATTTGAAGATAAACTCTTATTAAGATGATGATTCATGTATGTGAGAGTGGTCTTTGAAGATTAAGATATGCATGCTAGATATTTGATCAAATGTTCAAATATAAGTCCTCTGTACAGCCTATGTAGATTCTGTTTTCGTGCCATATATACTTATGATTTTGACTGATCTTATATTTTTCTATTAAAGTATACATCTCAAGCTTTACGTGAATTTTTTAATCACTCCAAACAGATTTTTCTACATTTAGTTATGAATTTTATAAGTTCAGTTAAAAAACTTTTATTTTCCTGACAAGATTATACTTCAATCTGGATTTCGGGCTGTTTTTGGTTAGTTTGAAAAATCCGAAACCCATTATGTAGTAGCTCTAAAAAGAGGATTTTGAGCCTACTTTTATTTGCCACTGGTCTCATAATATTTTGAGTTTTGATGAATTCGTTATGAATATTTTCGTAATATTACGCAGTTATGTGTTTGTTAAATGATGATATGAATGTGATTTTTGAAAGCTATGGTTTTTAAAGATTAATTAGCACATTGAAGGCTCTCCACAACCATCTAGTTTGTGCTTGCAAAGTGGTGATCAAAATTCAGATAAGTAGAGTTAAAGCATTTTCAAAACTGCATCACAAGACCTATTTGACTTAATTTGTTCAGAATTGTGATTATGCAAGTTTATTTTCTTATGAAATTCTTATATGATTATGTTCAAAGAGTATTCATGATTAATTATTTTGAAAGAGATTATGATTTATGCTTATTATGTTTTTATGTTTTAAGAGATTTTATGGTATGGTGTATGGATGAGAGGCTGGGTAAGCAGGGGTGCGAGAGACCGGTATCCCAAATTAGAGAAACTGTCTCTTTGAGACAACTAGAGAAAAATGCTAGTGGGAAGTTTCTTGTTGATCACAAGAGAAAGAGATTCTAAAAACCCCGCTTAGTGTTTAAGAGAAGAGAATTGGCCAAAATTAGAGAAGGTCATGTATAGAGAGGCTTACTTGGAACCGAAGTTCTGTATCATACCTAAACTAAGAATAAGTATGAAAGTTTATGAACAATGATTAACAAAGAGATTTTAGCCATAGATATTTTAGATACTTACTTAATTTAAAATCTACTTACTGAGTTCTTGCTCATTAGTTTTACCTTGTGATGCAGATGATGTTGTTGTTACCGAAGAGTAAAAAGAAAAATGATTTCCAAGGTTGGCTGAGTACTCCAAGTCTTACATCTGGTATCTTGCTTATATGTACTTTCAAACAATAGATGGGCTCAAAATGTTTTGTTTTGTTACTATGTCACTTTTGAATAACTATTTAATGTTTAAGATTTGTGGTTGCGCACTTACTCATTTTGTTCAAAAACTTTAAAAAAAATTTTGTGATGAAATCAACCACAAGTTTTCGCATCTTAAAAATGACATTGTTTTAAGTATAGAAAGTATGTTTTAAGTAGCACAACCTCGTTAAATTCAGCCTCAGACTGATTTAGTGTTGGAGGCGTTACAATTAATATCCCTACGGATTTTGATGGAGAGATCACGGAGGCCTGATCAGGTTATGATCTATTTACATTATTTCTTTCTTTGGTTTGATTTTGACTGCCCTGGGAATTTTCGTTTAATTGGGATTGTGAGATTATTTTCCGTTTGGATTTTTAGGCCTCTTGCTTTTTTGAATCTGCTTTTGTATGAGAATTGGTTTATTTTGTCGAACAATGATTGCTATACTCTACACGGTTGCGGGAGACTATTCATTTTTGTCTCTAGTATGGATTTTATCTCAGATTGTGGCATGCTCATGTAGTTGGGATTAAGTGACAATGAGAGTTTGTTCTTATTGCTATATAGGCAATGGATTTTTCTTGCAATTAATCAGCGAAAATGAAATTCCCGTCTTGAACTTCTTGGTGTTGATCTACTGTTTTGTACTTGTAGAAAATTTGGGATGAAATTGAGGAGAGTGACAGCGAGAGGGATAAGATGCTTCTTCAGTTTGAGCAGGAAATAACGTAGGAAAGTTGAAAACACCAGAAAGCATAGGGCAAGTTTGCATCAGTCCTTGGCCGAGGCCAAGGTTGAAATCAAGTAACGTTGTTTCGGCACTGGATATACTTCTTTTTCGCAGGTTCGTGCCTTTCAGAATTTTTTGGCAATATTTTTAAAATGATTTTGTTTTCAGTATAAAAGTGAAAATGAGATTATTTTAAAAATTATTTTGAAATTGATTTTGAAATTACTTTTAATTAATCTTTTAAAAGATTGTTTTGAGTAGTAAAAAAATAAAATAGTGTTTCATGATATTTATGAAATTTTATTTCGAGTATATTTAATTAATAATGTTAAATTAATATTGAAGTAATTAATAATTGATAATCACTTAACAAATAAAAATTAATATATTAATAATAAAATAATAATGAATATATTATAATTAATGAGTATATTGGTAATTAAATTATATATTAATGAATTAGTATGCTAAATAATTAAAAAATAGTAATTAATAATAAGTTATAAGTAATTACTATGTTAGTAACATACTAATATTTATTAGTTTATAAATAATTAATAAGTGTATTAAGAAAAAATAATTAGTATATAAATAATATATTAATATTCTATTTACTATTTAAATAATTAATTTTTAGTTACATAATTAAATAATTATTTAATTAGTACTAAGATTTATTTAATAATATATTATTTGATATATTGCATGATCAATTTTTTATAATTATTATTTAAATAACAATGAATTGCTAATTATCAATTAAATTATTAATTACTATTAATTAGTATATAATTTAATATTAATTATCAATTGAGTAATTACTTTTTTTTATTTATCAATTATTTACTAATTAATAGATTATAATTAATAATATTTATTATTTATCATTTTTATTAATAAAATTACAAATTTAATATTAATAATTTAATATTAATTAACAATTAAGTAGTTACTATCTATTCATTAATTATAGTCATATTTATTTATTAACTATTAGTTAATATATTATATAATTAGTAATTAATAATTAAATAATTTAATGTAATATTGTTGGTAATTACTAGAAATTAAAAACAGGAAAAGGAAAACTTCTAATCGTTTTTTAACTTCCTTCACAAAAACTATTTTCATTATTTTTTGTTTTCGTTTTCAAAACATTTGCTAAAGAAACGCGGTTTGCAGACCGTTTTCATTTTCGTGTCTCAAAAGACGTACAGTAACATTTTAAAAAACAACCAAAAACAGTTCCAAACGCACCTGTTGTTATCTTTATGTGTTTTCAGAAGTAGAAAAATGAACATTGCCTTTATTCAACGTGTATATGTGCGGAGATAGCTGGTAATGGTCAGTCTAAGAAATATGGTGATCCGCAAGTTAATGAGAATGATTTAATGGCAAAGAGATTGGCAGAGCTTAAGTTGCACCTTAAAGAGCTTCAGACTGAAAAGGTTCCTCTAGTCAATTGTGATGCTGTGGTTCTAGGATTAAGTTTGTGGGTGTACTCATGTGGTGTTTATTTTCACGCAGGCTTTGCGCTTACAGAAAGTTACTGGCCATCTTGCTTTCATCCATGTCAGTTGATCTCTTAAATGTGGTTCATGAAGTTCATCCAAGCTTGAGTAATTCCTCCTGTGGTAACTGAAAGAGTATCAGCAACGATACTCTTGTTAGACTAACAGATTTGATTAACTCTTTAAAGCACCAGAAACAACAAAGACTCAAAAAGGTGACTTGCTATTGAATTTCGCCCCTTCCCCCTTACCGAATCATCAACCTTAGAATATGAGTAATCTTTGCTAATTGCTACCTCTTGGAAGATAATGTCTTACAGATAATTTTTCCCATCAAATAAATTGTTGGGCCTCCGTGTGTTTATGAACATACCAAAACCTAGGCCGTATATAGTGAAGTATCAGTTTTTTGGTAGTGGAGTTTACACTACCACCTCATTTCATAAGCTATAAGCTTTTTGTTTTTTGCATATACTGAAGAGTTTTTTGCTTGTATATGTTTGAGATAATTCTGGCATGAATGCTTTTGTATTAAGCTCCATTTTAAAAATAAAAGTAATAATTCTTTTTCCAGATGGGTACTATAAGATTTTGAGATCTAAGATATGTTTTTAAGATTTGATCTGTTGTAATTATACTAATTTTGTGTGTTATTGATTGTTCAATATTTCTTTTGTGTTTGGATTTTTCAATTTGATTATTGTTGTTATAAATCTAGTGATACTTATTGAAAAAACAACATAATGCAGTAGATTATACTTTATAATTTGACAGATTATAAAACATAATATGTCAGGTTATGAATATAATCTGATCGTTTATGGATCATAAACTGGTAGGTTATGGATCATAATCTCATAAATTGACAGATTATGAAGCATTAGTTGTTAGGTTATGAAGCAAAACTAGCAATCTATGGACCATAACCTGTTAGATTATGACCGATACTAGTGACCGGAGGCCGGCGTAATCTCTTAGGTTATGGATCATAACTTGATAGACTATGGCCGACACTGGTGTAATATGTCAGATTATGGATCATAACCTAATAGATTATGGTTGGTGGCCGGTGTAATCTGTCAGGTTATGGCTAGTCGGTTGGAGACCTGCTGACGGCCGGCTGACGATGGAAGACCGTCGGCATATCTTATAATTTATCAATGGACTATTGAAAGTAACTTTGGAATTTTAAAATTATTTAATTTAATTATTTTTATTATTTTAATTGTAAAATGATAGAAATCAATGAGGGTTACTTTGAGTATAGAGGTTGCCGAGCAACATAAAAGGTGGTAGTGTCATGCTCGGTGACTATAACGGGATTGGAACACCATTAGTTTGTTTTTGGCGGCATGCTCCCAAACAGTGCTCGGCGTACGAAGTCGAGCAGACATCCAACACTTCCCTTGCCTTTACTATTGAAATTTCTGCTACCACTTTCTTTCATTAGGAGGATAAAAGGATAGAAATGCCAGAGTGCATAAGATGTATGCTCTTCCTTCCTCAAGGATAAAATTCCGAGACAATGAACAAAGTTTGTTAAATAATGGATACATTTCTATTTTTTTTTAATTTATCAAACATATCAAAAGAGGCGCATAATAAATCTTTAAAAGTGAGGTGGAAAAATATTGAAGAATTTCAAAAAAATGCCATCAATAAAGTAATTATTTTATTTTTGTCATTGTTAATAAATTTATTTTATGCCACAAATAATTTACAAATTTTCTTTTATTTCCTAGATTATTTTTTATAATGACATTAAAATTTATATAATGACATAAATAATATAATTCTTGTTAAATAATTGTGAGGTTGTTCTTTTGGAGTATAACTTGAGTGTAGTTTTTGAGTTGAATTTGAGTTATAACTTGAGTTTAAGTTGTATCTTGAATAAAGTTGAGTAAAGTTGAATAACGTTGAAACTTAAAAAAACATGAACTTGAATAAAATTGAAACTCGAGTTGTATTTTTATGAGTTTTTTTTGACAAAAGAACATGCCCTGAGACATTCAGCTCCTGCCTACGTGGCAGTTCAAGTGGCAGTACGACTCACTTGTAACGTGTCAGTTGTTTCTTTCTTTAGTGTTACTCAATTTTCTTTAGTCGGCTAAAAGGAGTATTGTTGGTACAACCAATATATAACCGGTATTGGTAAAATTGTATAGGGAGTTTTTCAGTTTTCCTAATTCTAGTGAGAGAAAGAAAGAACTGGTTAGAGAGAGAGAGAAAGAAAGCAAGAGAGAGCTTGAGAGCTGTGATTGTATTCATGGAGTTCTGGAGAAGTTCTTGATCTTGATTTTGTGTACTGCGTTAATATAAGGATTCAGTTCTTGATTGTCCTCAATTGAAGAGGCGATCTCAATTTTTCTGTTCGATGTTCTTGTTCTCATTAGTTGTTTTGGGGCTGTGATTGTTTGTTCTGATCTTGAGGGAAAAAAATAGTTAAAACTTAAAATTTTCGCAAAATATAAAGTAAGCAAGTGGTAACATATTGCTTCGTTTAAACTCGTGGCATGCAACTAAGAGAGGCTTTATGGTTAAGTAAGAAGTTGAATATCATATAACTTCAGAAAAATAAGTTTTCTAACGAAACAAACAATTATAAAGTATTAGAAACAAGATCTCCCGATACCGCATCTTCATCTCAAAAAGAAGAAAAAAATAATAATAATAACAAAACGAAGGGGAAGGGAAAATTCAACTCGTCATCCCCCAAGCAGAGAAATTACATTACAGCAAAGTGTCCCTGCCCTAGTCTGTCTAGTCTATGTCCTCAAACTTCTTTTTCCCCAGCCTGGGAAAGTGATTTTTTTGTTTTTTTTTTGTTTTTCTAGAGCTCATCATGCGAATCATCGTCGTCAGCTGATTCATCACCACCACCTGGGGCCCCACCAGACCTCTGGTAAACGGCTGTGATGATTGGGTTGCAAACAGCTTCAACCTCCTTGAGCTTCTCATCGTAGTCCTCCTTCTCGGCGCTCTGGTTGTCATCGAGCCATTCCAGGGCTTCCTTCACCGCCGTCTCGATCTTCTCCTTCTCGTCCGACTCAAGCTTGTCCGCCAGCTTGTCCTTGTCGTTGATCTGGCTCTTCATGTTGTAGACGTAAGTTTCAAGGCTGTTGCGGGCGTCGATCTTCTCCTTGACCTTCTTGTCCTCCTCGGCGAACTCTTCAGCCTCACGGACCATACGCTCAATCTCTTCCTGGCTCAGGCGGCCCTTGTCATTTGTGATGGTGATCTTCTCCGATTTGCCAGTGCCCTTGTCCTCTGCCTTGACGTTCAAGATACCATTTGCATCGACCTCAAAGGTGACCTCAATCTGAGGGGTTCCCCTGTTGGATTGAGGATAGGAAAACTGTTAAATTCATCAAAACAGCTAGGCATATCTTGAAAAGAGATGAAATCATGACAAGAAACTAACCTTGGAGCCGGAGGAATGCCGGTAAGATCGAATTTACCAAGCATCCTACAGTCCTTCGTGAGACTCCTTTCACCTTCAAAGACCTGAAATATTGACACAGAATTAAATCCAGAGATACCCCAATTATTTTGTTGCGACACTTCTTTATGTGGTTGACGCGTGAGAGAGAGAGAGAGAACTATACCTGAATCGACACTGTAGTCTGCTGATCCTGGTAAGTGGTGAAAACCTGAGACTTCTTGGTTGGGATCACAGTGTTTCTTGGAATCAACTTGGTCATAACCCCACCAACAGTTTCAATACCAAGGGTCAATGGAGCAACATCCAGAAGGAGGATATCTGTTTAAGTAATTAACCAGTTACCACATGGTAATCATTATTTTTATCCAATGATATTCAACGTTTGTCATGATTGTGTATAAAATAATAGAAAATGAAGACGATACCTTTAGTTTCGTCACCACCCTCTCCGCTTAAAATACTTCCTTGAACTGCGGCACCATAAGCAACAGCCTCATCGGGGTTCACACCCTTGTTTGGCTCCTTCCCATCGAAGTACTCCTTAAGAAGCTGTTGGACCTTAGGAATCCTAGTACTTCCACCAACAAGAACAATCTCCTGAATTTGGCTCTTGTCCAAACCAGCGTCTTCCATGGCCTTCTTAACAGGTCCCATGGTCTTTCTGAACAAGTCGTTGTTCAACTCTTCGAACCTAGCTCGGGTCAATGGCTCAGAGAAGTCGACACCATCGAAAAGTGATTCAATTTCCACACGGATCTGGTGCTGGCTGCTAAGAGCTCTCTTGGCTCTCTCAGCTTCCCTCCTCAACTTCCCAAGAGATCTGTTGTCCTTGCTGATGTCCTTTCCGTACTTTTTTTTGATCAACTTGATGAAGTATTCCATAATCCTCTGGTCAAAATCCTCACCTGCAGGCAGGAGCAAAGAAAGCACGTTTGATACTTCGATAAATATAATCAAGACCAAAACACACAAAAAAATAAAATAAAATCTCTGTAAGTTGATACAACTAAAATTTAGTAACCTAAATCCCATAAACCACGAGCCTTATAGTTTTAGTATTTTACCATTATTTTCAAACTACCAAGTCCCAAAAAATTTTCATTGCAAAAAGGATGTATACAATCGTTCAGGCACTAACAAGAATATGACTATTCAAATAAAATTCTCACCTCCCAAATGAGTGTCTCCATTTGTGGCAAGAACCTCAAACACACCGTTGTCAATAGTCAAGATACTGACATCGAAGGTTCCACCACCAAGATCAAAGACAAGAATGTTTTTCTCTCCACCCTTCTTGTCCAGACCATAAGCGATGGCAGCAGCCGTCGGCTCATTTATAATCCTAGCAACATTTAGGCCGGCAATAATTCCGGCGTCCTTGGTTGCCTGTCTCTGAGCATCGTTAAAGTAAGCTGTACACAGGGCAAGAAAACTACGTAAGCCTTGAATGATCTATATTTATATTGAGTCGGGAATTACTAATAAGGCTCAAATTTTACTCACCAGGAACTGTAACAACAGCATCCTTGATTTTCTTCCCAAGGAAAGCCTCAGCGGTTTCCTTCATCTTAGTCAGAACCATAGCGCTGATCTCCTCAGGGCTGAAAACCTTGGTCTCACCATCCTTTATGTTCACCTGAATGTAAGGCTTCCCATCCTTGTTCACAATCTTGAAAGGGAAAAGTTTAATGTCCTTTTGGACTTCTTTGTCGTCAAACCTGGAACAGTTATAGCCAAATTCAGAATTATTCCTTGCCAACTCGAACAACATAAAGAAAACCAAACAACTAGGAAGATGAATTACTTTCTCCCGATAAGTCTCTTGACATCAAAGATGGTCCTTTCAGGATTGACAGCCGCCTGGTTCTTTGCTGCCTCACCGATCAGCCTCTCGCTGTCGGTGAAAGCGACCCACGATGGGGTAATACGGTTTCCTTGGTCGTTGGCTATGATTTCAACGTGACCGTTTTTGTAAACACCAACACAAGAATAGGTTGTTCCAAGATCAATACCAATGACTGTTCCTAACTTAGCAGCTTCCTCTTTCGCAATCGAAATTGCAAAAAGGCAACCTGTTATGCAAACTTCAAAAGTTAGTATCAGAAAATACAAATCCTCTGCAGCCAACCGTGTTAATAAGCATATGACACAAACAACATGGATCACCACACATCTGAAACACAATTATCCGGCAGATGTAAAACTTGTTGTCATGTCGTTTAAAAAATATTTTCATGTGTAAAGGTTCCATATCTGTCGTCTAACCATGTCGTTTGGACACATCTCTTCAACTTAATTGCTTAATCACACAAATGTTTTTTTTTTTTCTCAAACTTGACACTTACTCTGTGTGATGTAATCTACAAAGAATTCATTGTAAAAGATAATTCCATGGATATACGCTAGCAAACCAGTAAAGAAAGTCCGAAATAAATGCGTATTCCAGAAAAAAAACTCAAGCGTTTATTGAGATCTAAAGCATAACAAACTCCATTAACAGCAAAAAACTGAAAAAACTAAAATATTTTTCAAAACTTCCCTCAAATTCCTAAACTCAGGCACGCACAAGCGAACGACTTTACTATCGATCACAGTAAAATACAAAAATCAAGCACAGATCATGTAAGATCCACCACATTCCATCAATTTCGAGCTCTGAAGCTTTCTCAAGCAGAAACAAAAACAGATCTATCGCATTTACTGAATCACAAGGAGCAATCACGAAAAGAATATTCAGATCTGAGACTCCCAAATACCGAAACACTCACCGAAGGTAACGATTGCGAGCACGATCAGAGACCCGCGAGCTCTCCAAGAGCCTGCCATGGCGAACAACAACAACAAAACTCTTTCTTCTTCTTCTTCCTTGGCGAGATTTCTCTCTGCTCTTTTTTTTTCTCTGCGATTCAAATCTTTCTTGCAAAGAGATGACTTTGGTTTCTGAATGGAAACGCGCGTGGGTCTCTGGGGCTTTTATAGTAGATTCTACTACGTCTATATTCCGCTAGTGAGGAATTGCACGTCAAAAGACCGAACCGAACATGTCATAAAGCGTGACGTGGACCAATCAGGTTTCGGCGTCGCGTTCTTCCAGCCAATGAAATCACAGCTCTTGTTGGGGCGATTCTGGCCGTTCGATTTCCATTCTCTAGACGTGTCGGCCATTCAGCTCTCGTCTTTTTGATGATTTTGGTTTTTGTTTTTATTCATCTCTCTATGACCAACGCGTCGTCGTTCAACCCATAGTGTAACGACAGAACGAAAAATAACCAATAATTTTCTGCTAAAGCTTTTGAAACATGTTTGTAAGGGTACCATTCAAACCAATTAAATCAAACTAAATTAAAAAAAAAAAAACAAACCAAATTAATTAATAAACAATTCGATTTAGTTCAAATTTTTAAAAAACTAATTAAATTGATTTGATTTGTAGTATTTACCTTTAGAAAAATCGAATTAAATCAAACTAAACCAAACCTATTTCTATTTATATAATTTTCCTAAAATTATATATATTTTATGTATTTATAATTTATTTATATTTAAAAAACTCGTTTATTTTATAACCCAGAAGTTTCTACCATAACTTATATATATTACTAACATCATCTATGTAGTTTACCCTCAAACTTTCTCCACTTCACTCCTCTCCTATCATCTCATCTCCTTTCATTCTCCACTCCTCGTGATTCTATCTAAAATCTTACATCTTTATTAACGTGAATATAACATCTGTAATAATAAGTGTCTCTGACTTGCCTATATCTATTTTCTTTCGTATATTTAATAATGTTGAATATCATATTCAATTATGATTTATAAGTCACAACTAATATTATATAAACATATTTATAAATATGTCTATAATTGAAATGCTTTGACTTCATTTTGTCTTTAAAAGAAAGAGAAAAATAGACAAAAAAACATACAAAATATTAATACAAGTTCTGGTTGAGACTTAAGAAGAAGATGTAAAATATTACTTCAAACAAATTAGAAAAGCCAAACCAAACCAATTACAATCGATTTGGTTTGGATTGGATTAGATATCTTAATTGGTTTAATTTAGTTTGAAAAATCTCTAAACCAATTTATAATTTATTTAATTTACATTTCATCTAAAATAAATAGTTTGGTTAGTTTGCATGCCCCTACATGTTAGTGTCACACATTATCGTATAATGATATAAACATATATTCTTCCTTTTTTTTATTTTTGGGATGTCTCAAAGATGCTAAGTGATTAATGAGTAAAATTTGTACATTTTGGTTTTGATATTACCTGTGAATGATATGAATTTTAGATTTCATGGCTGAGATAATTTTGAAGCCGTTCGTTAAATCGATTTTCACTTTCGTAAATTGAAAGCTTTTGCACTCTGTTTAGAATAAGTAATTAAGGTAAGCGGGTTTAGAGGTAATTAATGGGAAAAGTGTTGATTATAATAAATCGGTAAGACAACATAATTGGATTTTAAAATTTTCACAACCTAGCGAGGATCGCACGTATTTTTTTATATGAACAGTTAATGGCCCATTTAGTTTACAGGCCGGAGAAAGCTCGAACTTAAATTCATTTTTTAAGAACATAATATAGCAAAGGAGTTTCAAAATGAGTTATGAAAAATTGATTGGACAGACAGCCAAAAAAAAAAAAAAAAAAAAACAAAGAAGAAAGAACAATGAATTTGAAATCGTGGAATTGGTGGACTTCATTAGAACCTCAGATCAAAACACCATAACAAAAAAAAGTTATGGTGTGTAGTAAAAAGTTTTTTACGTGGAATTGGTGTGTTTTTTCACAACTTAAATAATTGTTCAAAGTTTTTTACGTGAGAAAAGATATTGTAGTAAAAAGTTAAATTTAAATTTTTAAGAAAAAATACCATAACAAAAAAAATTTAAGTTGTCAAAAAACAATAACTAAAAAGGGAAAAATTATATAAAAACCACAGAAATGGGGGTTCAATTAACTAGCTAATTTTTCAAATTCCTTCAGGACATCATAAAAGGTGGGCCGAGTTTTAAAATCCAAACAGCAAAAGGTGGCTGATGATGCAATCTTGTTTTAACAAATGGAGCCAAGGCAAAGAACGCGGTAGGCTTATAGGTGGTTTGAATGCATGACCTAATTTTACATAGGGTTAATTGCTTTGTTAACCCTTGAATTTTGATCAGATTAACATTTTGATTTTTTAACTTTTAATTTTATCATATTTATTCTCCGAACTATCATTTTTTGACAATTTTAGTGCCTGATAGTAAAATTGTCAAACGATTATGAAATTTAGCATAAATAATCATAACATTATAGTACAATATAGTGCTGAAATTTTGGACGGGCCGTCCGCGACCACCGAAAATTCTGAATTCTTACCTGATGATTGAGCCCGTTCGAGCCTGAATTTTTAGGTTGCCCGACTCGACCCGAGGAACATCATGGACGGGCTTCGGGTAACTTTTGGCTGCCTGAGCCCGGTCGGGCAGCCCGAGCCTGCCCTTGTTGCCCAAATTTTTTTAAATATTTTTTAAATATTTATCTATTTATATATATATTATATATAATTTATTAATTGTATATGGTATGTATATAAATGATTTTTAAGTTATTTATTGTAAAAATTATATAAAAATTATAAGGGAGATTGCAGTTTGAAATTTGAAATGAACACGGACTATATAAAAAAATTATTTATTTATTAATTTTTAAATTTATAATTCATGATTGTCTCGTTAAAAACCTTACAAAGAAAAACCCAATTGGGATAAAAACTTAGTAAGAAAAAAAGAGTCCAATCACTGTGGGACGAATTACAAATTTGACGAACTTACAAAGTCTATACAAGATTACAATAACACTGTACAAAGTAAATAAATATTTACAAATTACAATAATAGAATTTAATTTGAAGCTGAATGATAGTATTGAAAATTAAAAGTTAATTTATTAAATTCATTGATCCATTCTTGGCTTGCGGGTGAATTGTATCGTATAAGCGTTGGTCAGAACGATCACAATCCTTAATGTACACCAAAGCTTCAATAATGTCTTGTTGCAATGCGTTTCTACGTTCTTCAAGTATTCGGCCGGTTGTACTGAAGGCTTGTTCGGATGAAACAGCGGAGACTGGAATAAAAAAAATATCCATTACTAGTCGAGTTAGGACGGGCCAAGTTAATGCTCGTGCCTCCACCACTTAACCAAATCAAACATTTCATTATTGTCGACAACTAAGCCCTCACTCAGGTATGCCATTAACTCATTGAAGCAACTGTTGTTGCCGCCACCTCTTGATGAAGATCCACTCCCAGATTCTTCTTGACCTTGAGTCGTCGTCCTCGTCTTCTTCTTCTTCTTCAACCCGAAAACATTTAAGAATGAATGCGGATAGTCATCTCATTGTTGCGGTTGTTCTACACGAGGTGTGTTTCTAAACCTACTTTTATAAGAGCTATAGAGAGATAATATATTTTCCTTTATAATAAAAAATTCGCCAGAACAGTCGATATCTAAAAGTCACCTAAGTTGTCTAATCCACTTTCTAAACTATCTAATTTTAATCTAGGATAAAAAATAACATCGAAACCATACAACATTGGTAATTTAGACCAATATTTTTTAAACTTCTTTTCCATAGAAGCGATAAGAACTCCTAAAACCTCGTGTGTCCTAAATTCACTAAATAAAATAGTCACTCTTAAAAGTTCTCCTAATGCTAATGGTGACGTTGGGTAATATGTTCCACTAAGCTTTAAAATAACTTCGTGAAATCTACCTAAAAAGTTATACAAAAGTTCAGCAATTTGTCAATCAGTTTGGTCTATAAATCCTGGTCCTAATTTTGCACTAACATGGTTTGTTATAACATATTTATAGGGGATGCATTGTTCAAGCATTATATAAGTGGAGTTCCATCTTACGGGCATATCTAAGGCTAATGCTCTAAGATTTTGATTACATGCTTGTAGAAACCTAAACCAATCTTGTATTCTTTGATTACTACATTGAATCCATGCAATGTTATCTCTAATTCTTTTAATATGACCTGACATTGATTTTAAACCAGATTTTACTATTAAATTAATTATATGGCATGCACAACGGTGGTGAAAAATATCATTATTACCGAATAAACTTAAATCATTTTCAAAAAGTTCTATTGCTTTAGTATTTGTAGTAGCATTATCTAATGTTGTAGCCATTACTCTATCTTTTACACTATATTCATCAATGACAGATAAAATTGTATTATATATTAAATTGGCAGTATGTGATCCTATAACACATTTAAAATCTAATATTCTCTTAACTAAATCAAAACCTTTAAAATAATGTCCGATTATAGGTAAATAATCTTTGTTGGCAACGGCGGACCAAATATCCACCGGTAATGCAACAGGTCTGTTGGTAAAAATCGGGTCCACTTTCTTACTTTTAAAGACACTTTTCAGAGTGTCTTCTCAAATGTGTAGTGCCATGAATAGTGTTACATTATAATTTATCACCACAATATTTGCATTGAGTTATGTATTTAACGTTACCATTATTGCCGACCTCCTCGAATGTGTTGAAGTGCTCCTAAATTGTTGAGATGCGCTTGCATTTCTTTTTAAAACTTGCAACACTTGCACTAGCACTTTTGCCTGGCTCTCCTCCATGCCTACCACCATTACGTCCACGACATCTAGTACGTCCACCAGGGCTTAGATTTGTAGTTTCCTCAGCAGCTCTTTCTGCAGTTTGCGATTCATGCGTTTGAAAAACAGTAATAGGAAATTGCCCTTCTTTGATGTTGAATTGAGCATCAACGGGAATATCACCACCATAACTAGAAGAATCCATTATGAAAAATAAGATAGATTGAGAGCACTTTGAGAGAGATTAAGAGAGATCGAGAGAGATTTGAGCGAGATTAAGAGAGATTTAAGAGAAATTAAGAGATGATGAGAGTTTTTGGGTGACGAAAATGGTTGGGGGAGGGGGGTATTTATAGGAAATTTTTTTGCTTGAAAAAAAAAATTTTTCCCTCAAATTTTCGGTTCCAACGGTAACACACTTTCAGGTCGGGTCGGGTTCGGGCAGATCGGGCAACGGTAAAAAAAAAAAAAAAGAGCCGTTGGGGTCATGCGGCGGGTTAGGTCAGGCAAAATAGAGCGTTACATTCAAAATTCGGACTACCGGTCTCCAATAATTCGGGTCGGGCAAAAATTCAAAAAACTAGCCGTTTTTTTGGTTTTTGGGCAACAGGTCGGGCTTCGGGTTACGCTGGAAAATTCAAAAAAAATTCCGGCGAATAGCGGTCACGGCTTCTCCACTGGTGGTGAGCTGCCGGAATTGGGTTTTTCCCGGG